AACTTGTAGCAGTCGGGTTCGTCGGGTCCGACTAGGTTAAATTTCTTTTCATCAGAAAAAAATTATTAGCTTCCAAACGTTTTCTTTCTGAGCCGCCACAGAAAGACGCTCAGCAATTCCAAGCGAGCTGCCTTGTGCTCCGCTGTTAGTGGTAGAGTTCTGTCCATTTTATAGTACGTTAGAACGTCTACGGAGGACAGCAAACGCTGAACAGTTCTAATAGAGCATAGCAGGTTGTAAGTAGTCTTCACCTCGTTTGCCGTTTAGTCGCCGGTAGCAGCTGCCCTAACGACCTGACGCACTTGACGATCCGTCTGGGCCTTGGGCTGGCCCTGTGCCGCTAACAAAGCCTTGTCCAGCTTGCTTTTTGCGGCCCTTTGAGGAGAGCGCCTCACGCGCCGAGTGATCTCACGGCCCGAAAAGCCGCCCTCAGCTAGACCCTTGATCCTCCCACTCCTCTTCCAAAATATCTTGGTCCCCTCCCATACAAATGCTGTATGAGAACCAGTGGGTACATTGTTACCATCACTCACCTCCCAAATAAATTCCAATATAAACCGCTGTCCATTTTTGTCGCAGTGCTTTTCCCAGTTATCGTGATAGGAGCCTACTGACGTGCTACGATTGACCGGCTCTTACCACAAACCGGCAGTCGCACAATACGATTCGAGCATCATATCTAAATAGCGTCCTCAAATTTTCAGTAGTTACTGAGATATGAACACCAACACAGGTGTCCATATATTTTTGTCGTGGAGTATAGTGTTGAACCGTATATACCACAAATATCCAAGCTACACATCCATAATCCGCGAAAATCTCGCTTTTTGCGACTGTGACCTACGAGTATTATCAACACTGACCGCAAAAGCATCAACATTTTCACGAATGACCGTAAAACCAGCTATGGGTGGGACGTGGGACAGAAAAGATAGCGAATGCGACAGTTAGCATTTTACCTCGTTGGTGCGATGTCGTGTTCTGGGCTCCTTTGTGGAGAATTTAGACTGCTGGGGAGGACTAACCAAAGAGAGCAGAACGTGTTACGCGTATCACGAGGTGAGGAGGATCTCATAGAGAATAAAAATGTTATTCTTGTGTTTTAAACCAAAAGGTGACGTGGCTTGCAGCAGGAGTAGTGCTGATCGTGAGTTTGGCTGTGCTGGAGGAACCTCGCAACTTTGGACGTCTCTTTTGTAGATGCATATTATCTACGTGATTTGGTATTCATTGTAACTGAAGTACGTCCACGAGACGAA